AATGTAATGTAATGTATGTATGTATGTATGTATGTATGTATGTATGTATGTATGTATGTATGTATGTATGTATGTATGTATGTATGTATGTATGTATGTATGTATGTATGTATGTATGTATGTATGTATGTATGTATGTATGTATGTATGTATGTATGTATGTATGTATGTATGTATGTATGTATGTATGTATGTATGTATGTATGTATGTATGTATGTATGTATGTATGTATGTATGTATGTATGTATGTATGTAATGTAATGTAATGTAATGTAATGTAATGTATGTATGTAATGTATGTATGTATGTATGTAATGTATGTATGTATGTATGTATGTATGTATGTATGTATGTATGTATGTATGTATGTATGTATGTATGTATGTATGTATGTATTATGTATGTATGTAACGTATGTATGTATGTATGTATGTATGTATGTATGTATGTATGTATGTATGTATGTATGTATGTATGTATGTATGTATGTATGTATGTAATGTATATGTATGTATGTATGTATGTATGTATGTATGTATGTATGTAATGTATGTATGTATGTATGTATGTATGTATGTATGTATGTATGTATGTATGTATGTAATGTATGTAATGTAATGTATGTATGTATGTATGTATGTATGTATGTATGTATGTAATGTATGTAATGTAATGTAATGTAATGTAATGTAATGAAATGTAATGTAATGTAATGTAATGTAATGTAATGTATGTATGTAATGTACGTATGTATGTATGTAATGTCATGTGATGTCATGCAATGTACTGTAATGTAATGTCATGTGATGTATTGTAGTGTAGTGTAGTGTAATGTGATGTGATGTGATGCAATGTATTGTAATGTTATGCAATGCAATGTAAAGTAATGTAATGTAATGTATCCACGTCATGTATGTATGTATGTAATGTTATGTAATGTCATGCAATGTAATGTAAGGTAAGGGAAGGCAAGGTAATGAAATGTAATGTATGTATGTATGTATGTATGTATGTAATGTATGTAATGTATGTATGTATGAAATGTATGTAATGTATGTATGTATGCATGTATGGAAGTAAGTAAGTAAGTAATGTATGTATGTATGTATGTATGTATGTATTAATGTAATGTAATGTAATGTAATGTAATGTAATGTAATGTAATGTAATGTAATGTATGTATGTAATGTATGTAATGTAATGTAATGCAATGCAATGCAATTCAATGTAATGTATGTATGTATGGATGTATGTAATGTATGTATATATGTATGTATGTATGTATGTATGTATGTATGTATGTATGTATGCAATGTATGTATGTATGTATGTATGTATGTATGTATGTATGTATGTATGTATGTATGTATGTATGTATATGTATGTATGTATGTATGTATGTATGTATGTATGTATGTATGTATGTATGTATGTATGTATGTATGTATGTATGTATGTATGTATGTATGTATGTATGTATGTATGTATGTATGTATGTATGTAATGTATGTATGTATGTATGTATGTATGTATGTATGTATGTATGTATGTATGTATGTATGTATGTATGTAATGTATGTATGTATGTATGTATGTATGTATGTATGTATGTATGTATGTATGTATGTATGTATGTATGTATGTAATTAATGTATGTCTGTGCGTACGTATGCATGTATGTATGTATGTATGTATGTAGGTATGTATGTATGTATGTATGTATGTATGTATGTATGATTATAATGTCATAGTTGGTTTACCTTTAGATGCAAATGATTTATTATCACGTCAAACATTTCACGTACTTGATTTTTGTATAAATTTTATATGTTTCACTCTACAATATCAATGGAATGAAAATGATTATTTATGTTTTTGTGGTTGTATACATAAATCATTATTTATTTTTTACAAATATATATAAATTATTTACTAACAATGCATATTTATCATCATTATTATTATTTTTATTAACTTTATTCACTTTATTCAATTTATTTTGTTTCAATTTTGCAATCAATAAATTTGAAGATAATTTATTATCATTATCATTATCATTTTCATTATTATTATTTTTTAAAATAGTTAATAAATCATTTCCATTTTTATTCATTAAATCAAATCCACTTTTTCCTGTAAATGTTGGTATATTTATTGGTCTATCTTTTAATAATGTATGTATGTATGTATGTATGTATGGTATGGTATGGTCTGGTATGGTCTGGTATGGTATGTAATGTATGTAATGTATGTATGTATGTATGTATGTATGTATGTATGTATGTATGTATGTATGTATGTATGTATGTATGTAATGTAGTGTATGTATGGATGTATGTAATGTAATGTAATGTAATGTAATGCAATGCAATGTAATGTAATGTAATGTAATGTAATGTAATGTAATGTAATGTAATGTAATGTAATGTATGTATGTATGTATGTATGTAATGTATGTAATGTATGTATGTAATGTAATGTAATGTAGTGTAGTGTAGTGTAGTGTAGTGTAATGTAATGTAATGTAATGTAATTAAGTATGTATTTATGTATGGAATGTATGGAATGTATGTATGTATGTAATGTATGTATGTATGTATGTATGTATGTATGTATGAATGAATGAATGAATGAATGAATGAATGAATGTATGTAATGTATGTATATATGTATGTGATGTAGTGTAGTGTAGTGTAGTGTAGTGTAGTGTAGTGTAATGTAATGTAATGTAATGTAATGTAATGTAATGTAATGTAATGTATGTAATGTAATGTAATGTAATGTATTGTAATGTATTGTACTGTGATGTGATGTAATGTAATGCAATGTATTGTAAGGTGATGTGATGTGATGTACTGTAATGTAATCTAATATAATGTAATGTATGCTTGTTTGGTTGGTGGGTTGGGTTGGGTTGGGTTGGGTTGGGTTGGGTTGGGTTGGGTTGGGTTTGGTTGGGTTGGGCTTGGCTTGGCTTGGTTTGTGTATTGCGGAGGGGTGCCTATGTCTCCTTCCTTTTTGCCGTTTTTTCTTGTTTGTGTGGTTTCCTTGCATTCCCACGCATATAGACTAAGCAAGCTTCTCTTGCGGCCGGTGTTTTAGAGTGGCATGGGCAATGCTGAGCCTGACAATTGCGCCACTGTTCGGCTCAAAAGACGGGCATGCCCCCAGAGATTCGCAGACATATCAGCACTTCAGCAACCATTCATTTGCGCAAACAAGAACAGTCCGCTTTGACCTTTGGCAGATCGCTTTGCGATGGGTCCTCCCGTGCTCGCTTGCGGGCGCTGAGCTATGGTTGCTCATAGGTTTCGTTGACCTGGCTGGGGTCCTCCAAATACTCCAAATATTTGGGGGTAGACTTTTAAATATGAACCAGAATCAGAAGCTTTGCTTTCTGCCTGCATGGGCCAAGTTCTTCAAGTCACCTTTTCAATCAACATCACCCTTGGGATGGGGGAATCCCAATGACTTTGGCCTTGGCAAGCGATTCATGATCAGAATCCCAAAAGTGGGCTTGACGGTGCTGCTTCCTTATTCGAATGGACAGGGTGCGGGAGGAGGTTCGACTCACGTCCTGTTTGGCATTTGTTCGACATGCCTGGTTTGCAGGGTTTCGGTGGGCTGGGGGCGGACAATATCCGCGAGGACTTGTCTGAGGATGGGCCCTTGCAAGCCCTCTCAAGAGAGGATATGTGTTGAAACTTTGGGCTCCCTCGATTTGGGCCATGCCGGTTTTTTTCGCCAGGGTCCAACTGCGTGGCCTCCACCTCCATCGGCTGCCTGTTTTGCTGCAAGGCGCGCGGGCTGCCATTTTTGCTGGATGTGGACCCTTAACCCCCCCCCCCCTCCACCCTAAACAAGAAAGAGAGTCAGAGTAGGGTTCGCTTTTTCCTCGGAACCTGAACGAAGGTTCCTGAGCGAAAACGGTAAGGCAGGCACCTGTGCAAGTTGGTACTGGTTGCTCTTCTGGAACCTCCTTGCAATTTTTCCATGTCCAAAAAGGGTCGGGTTCTCTCAGGAAGTTGTTTTGTCGGCTTCTTTCATTACCCGCGAAGACAATTTTACTTAGATGATTTTCCAAGCTCACCCACTATCCATTTTTGGACACAACAATAACAACTTAAGAGCAGCCTATTTCGGTCTATCCTTGATGGTACCCTGTTTTGGATTAAAGGGACACCAACATGAACACCACTGCCCCCCCCCCCCACCGAGAAAAAAAAGAGGAAAAACAAGAAAAAACAAACAAAGAAGCAACCAACAAACAACAAAAGAAAGGAAACACACACACACACACACACTCTACACAAATTGACTAGAGGGACTCCCAGTGACCGGAGCCGCCCAAGGGCTGCAGCGCGGAGAAAGTGCGGCCTGGCGCCAAGGAAGCGTTTTGGTTTGCATTGCGCCCAATGCTTGGACCTCAGATCAAGCATGAACACGCAACACACACACACACGAACATATTTGTATCTATATCTATACGTATATAAATATTTATATATATATATATGTGTACATACACATATGTAGACGTACATGACTCAGGGCATGAAGGGTTTCTCCCCTCAGCTTTGGGTGGAACATGCAAAGACAGTAGCTCCCGGGATCCCTTCAAAGCAAAACGGCCTGTCCCTGGTGTGCCTTCTTGTCCGACAGCTGGAAGCTTGCCCAGACAGGCTCTGGGGCGGTTTGGGCAGCTTTCAGGGAGAGTTCCATCAGTCGATCTTTGTATTTGTGGCCTTCGAATCGCCAGGAAGTCTGCAGCCGGCTTTCTTGCACTCCGGAAACCCCGCATGAACCCGGGGTTACGCACTTCCCTGACGTACCGAATCGTTTTTCTACTTGAAGGGTAGCTGTCCAGTTGCCCAGCGCCCCTTTGTGCCCCTTTTGGTTAAGAGGGGGCTTCCCTCTTCACATCCTGAGGAATGCCTTCACCTTCATTCCCCCCCAGAGCTCCTACACGGTTGAAGCCGAGAGCATGGAGGACGGGGCG